TAAGAACTCTAATAAAGCAGGATAGGACCAATATCCCAGCCCCCATCTGACAGGTGATGATGAGACTGATCCCCAAGAAGTCCCAGAGTAAATCAGTGAGTTTTAAGAGTCGTGTTAGTTTGCAATTAACTATAATATAGCTCAAACTAGTAAATTTGAATTCAGCTTCATTAATTTATTTTAAATTTAAATTTGGCTCAAACTAGTACTTTTTAAAGAGGGTGTTTGTTATTCCTTGCTCACAAAATACAGACATGGGAAGGGCAAGGGTATAGATGCTCCGCAGGAACAACTGGAAGCCCAAACTCCAGCACCATGAGGACCTGATCCGTCTCTTCTGTGCTGTTCATAAAACATCCAGCTGGCTGTCCACATGGCAATTATGACAATCAATAGACCTCAAGGTTGTTATCTTAGAATTTCCACCATTTTAAAGAAATAACCCTCACCTCTCCCCGGTTCAAAACATCCTAAGGTATCTTCAACAGGGTTTGATGCAGGTGCCCCATCCAAGGACTGAGTATCTGTGCCAGAGGGCTGGGAGTTTGGAGTGTTTGAGAACCTTGTGGATGCATGGAAGAGAAGGAAAATGGGAGGTAATGGAGAAAGCCTTCTCAGTGTGGGTGTGATGGATAGTCTCCTGATATCCACTCAAAGGCCAATTCCTTTTACTTCATATCCCACCCATTTCCTTTTTGTAACTTAAGCCATTACTAATTTCAGAGACTGCTCTAAGCATTTGTATCAGGTTAATAACAAACCCAAATCCACGGTGACTTCTTGCTCTTCCTACATTCCCACTGGTGGGTGGCTGGATCTCTGCATGGTCACCCTGACCGCCAGGCCTGGGCTAACAGGGCAGCTATTCTCTGGCACAGAGCCCATCACCACGGGAGAAAGACAAGTACATCTCACACCAGTCACTCAATGCTTCCGCCTGGAAGTAACACATCTCACTTCTCGGCTCATTCACTGGCCGGAATTACATGGAAAGTGCATGTGCCTGGCAGGGAGTATTTTGCAAGCAGCTCTACTTTAGTTACCACTCCAGCACTTCGAAATCATTACACCTCATCTTCACAACTACTACAGGAAGCACTACTATCATCCCTACATTAAAGGTGAGGAAACTGACGCAGGCAACGCAACTGGCCCCAAATCACAGTTAGAGACTAATGAATTAAGCCAGCATCGTCAGCACTTCCACTGCCTATTCGATCAGTTAAAACATAAAAAGGGGAAACTGGGTGCCAGAACTGTGACCTTAAACTGAATCCTGCCCACATTCCACTCAACTCCATGTTGCCCACTCGGATTTTTGGGTCCGTGAATTCTGTGGGCAGAACACTATATATAGCACTGGATAGGACTCTGCTTTAAAAAGCTTGCTCTCCCACAATGAGGGTCAGAGAGGACTTTAAGCCTGCAGATATCCCCTTAGATAGGCTAAATGCTGTGGACAGAGATGAGTAACAGGGTTCCCTGTGTAGGACTCCATGTAACAAACTCCAACCAGGACAGATGTTTTTGCACTTGTACCCACCCCTAGTATCTGGACATAGCTAACACTAGTGAAAACAATAATGCATGATAGGACATATTAAGGGCTGGTGTTTAAACGCATTTAAATCCTGACTGCCACTTTCTAGCATCTTGAACCAACTTCGCAGCAGTGCTTCATTATTTACCTGAGAAACCGTAATCAGTAACAGTAGCCATGATATAGAATTGTTAAGATTAATGAGATACTATAAAGCTTACCAAGTTCCATGCCTGGCATATAGTAAACATTTTACAAGCACTACGCAGCGGTTCTCAACCTGTGGGTCGCTAACAATGAAAATACAGCCTGCATCAGATATTTACATTAAGATTCATAACAGTAGCAACGAAAATAACTTCATGGTTGGGGGTCACCACATGAGGAACTGTATTAAAGGGTCGCAGCATTAGGAAGGGTGAGAACCACTGCAAGGCATTTGTATGTTTAGGAGGAAAAAAAGTATAAAACATATTCCTTTTGAAGATTTATGGTGGAAGTGACCTTTAACCTGGCTCTTAGGGACAGTTCTCAGGAAAAGGCATTTCCAGTTGTGGTGAGTGTAAGCAAAAGCTGAGGTGGGGCACATTTGGTGTCGAGGATTTAGGACTAGCAGGCATGTTTTGGGAGGCAACTGGAAAGCCACTTGAGAATCAGATTTTGTCTTCAGGGTCAACTTTCTGGCCTGGGATGAAGAAAAAGGAACGAGATGTAGGTTGCAGCCTCACCTTGCCCAGAGAACAGAGTGCTCTTCTATCCAGCACTGCTAACCGAGGCAACCAGTAACCAGGAATATGCAAGTCTCGAAATGAGAATACAGCATGCCCTGATGTGCTGTGTGGTGTCCTTGGCAGTGGTTTGGCCTTTTGAATTAGATTTCCTTCAGCCTGTTCAAAGGCCCTATTATAGAATGTCTCTCCAGAAAAATGCATGCGTATTAATCTTGCATGTATTTTCAGAAAGTCGTTTCCCTGACATCTACCTATAGATTCCAGGGTCTTGGTATGTGTTAATGTTCCTTTAACACCGACTTCAAGTGCATCTGGCGGGCCCAGATGATCGAGATGCTGTCACACCCACCCCAACCCCTAGGTCTGCAGCAGCAGCATGTTGTAGGGAAGGCTGGATTCCCATCACAGTAGGTACAACCGGCTTGTGCCAAACTATCCTGCCAGCAGGAACCTAATCCGTCTTCAGATCCTCAAAACCTGGGTCTAGCTAGCCCCAGCCAACCAGCCCCATGTCATGTGAGAATTCTACTTACTGGGTCTCAGAAACATGGACTAAGGCCATCTGCCTTCTCATTAACACAAAGAACATGGGTTATTTTATCAACTGGTCATCCAATTTTTCCTACCATTTTTCCATCCCTAACCACATCAAAGGACTTAGGATTGATCCCCACTATATCTTATGACAAATGGCTCCATTTTCTTGCCTATTTTAATATTCGTAGTCAGTGTCCATTAAGGGGAGTCTTTCAACTCAACATGTACTTATTGAGGCACCCGCTCTAGGCCAGGCATCATGCTAGGGACCAGATATAAGTTAACAAAAACATGGCACCTATCCTTCCATATTCAATCCTGGCATTAAGAGAAACAATCAACAATCAGCTCTTTGAAGATTCTTCTGGATTCACCTCTGTACCTGACAAACACAACTGTATTTATGAGCGTCAAGTGATTGAGGGCCTTCCAATCAGAGCCTCAAACCCAGACACTGTCTCTCAATGCCTGTCTCCTAACATTTAAAAAGGTGGAGCCTAAAAATGGGGTTACTTGCCACGTCTGTTGGTCTTGGCATCCCTAGCTATTCCCCACATTTTCCAGTAGGCCCTTCTTTCAGAAGTTGTTATTGAATGCTGGCCCTGGGCCTTTTTACGTACTTTCATTTACCAACCCCATGAAGAAGGTTCTCCCTTTTGACAAGGGGACTCAGCTGTCACTTGCAGGAGAGATCACCTTCCACCAGGTCAGTGATGACTGACCATCCTCATCCAGGCTGAAACAGAGTGCTCAGTGTGAACTGCCTGAACCATGTTAGTCACAAAGCAGCCCTACAGAATAGTTACCAAAATAATCCCAATGGTTAATAGTGAAACATCCTTTTCTGAAGAGAAAAAAAAATTTATACATCATCAAACAGCTGTTAGCACTTAACATAGCATCCTATTAGGACTACTGGATATTTTGTAACCAGACCTGCAATGTGGCAGCCATTGTTCTACTTCGGCTCCCTTGACTAGAAGACAACCCCTTGAGTGCCGGCAATCGCGCTCCTCCTGTCTTTCGCTAAAAGTGCCGGGAGCGCTACCAAAGCTTTGAAATGGCGTCCAGTTCTAAGTCTGCTTTTATTAGTGGTGATGATATTGCTAAATATGTCAATGTAGTAAAGGTCTCCTTAAGTTTTTGAATATGTAACTTCATTTACTTGCGATTCATAATTTTTTTCCTAAACTGCTGTAAAATCAGCAAAAACGCCTTGGCAATTTTAGCATAGTTCCTAGGATATTGGTTGGCACTCAAAGGGTTAAGGAAAAGTAGCTGCTACCCTGTTTTATAAGGCTGAGCTGTCCCATCCATTCCACTCCCATGCCAGGCAATAGCTGCCTAGGTGAACAGTAACTGGGGCTCTCTTCCAAGCCTCCTTTCTCCTTGGCAGACCCACAGTACTACCAAAATACTGAGGCTAATCTAGGCTGTCCAATATGGAACCACCAGCCACATGTGGTTAAAAGTGGCTCATCCCGATTAAAGTGTGCTTTAAATGTAAATAAATGTACAATATACATGATTTCAAAGACTTATTACAAAGGGTAAAATTCCACTCACTTCGTATCAATTACATGTTAAAATTATAACATTCTGAACACAAAATGTTATAAAAGGGGAGCGGAGCCCTCATCTATTTCACAGAAGCCAGCCTGCCCTCTCTATAAGCATTTCCCAGGTAAAGTGGTCCAGCAAACTCATTTACTCAACTCCAGGAATACAGTTGTGACAGGTTTACAGTAAAACTAGTTTTTAAAATGCCATTTTACAAACACACTGCAAAAATGCTACTGACATGCCATCCAAATTTACTTTGAGATGGGTCTTAGTGAGCTGTGGGCTCTAGCTGTCATAGTTAACCATGTATAGTTAACCAGGACAGTTAACAACAGGGCCTGAAATGAGCACTATTGTCAAGGTAAAAACAGGAAAGGCACCACTCCTTCCAGGGTTGACATAAGACTCCAGGAAGGGAGACAGCTTCACCGCCTGGACCCCAACCCAGATGCAACCATCCAGGGCCAGACGCCATGCTCTGCTGAGCATGAGCGTGATGGGTGAGTTATCATAACTTTCTTGGTCACTTCAGGGAAACGGCATTCACCAAACAAAACAAAGGCTGCGACCGCCGCAGGAGCTCCTGCCACTCTGCTGTCACGTTCAAAACGACTGAGTGAAGCACCAGAGTCCTTTGAGGCATTTTATTTCCACATATGTATCACATCCCTAGAAAAAGAATCCCAGGATTTTCCCTCCTGTGTGTTTTCGTCTTGCTTCTTCATGGTCCATGATGCCCGCTGAAGTTGTCAGTACAATGAAACTATGGAGAGTTAAAAAAAAATGCTGGTGAGTTTTTCCTAAATAGTTCAACATAAAGCCAATTTCTGGTACAGAAAGGCACCAACATTCATCAGTGCTTAAGTCATCTTCCTGTAAGACACAGAAACTAACACTGGCTCCACAAGCTGGCCATGCACAGGAAACAAAAGACTCAGATCCAGCCCGGCCGGCATGGCTCAGTGGTTGAACATTGATCTATGAACCAGGAGGTCATGGTTGTTTCTCAGTCAGGGCACATGCCCAGGTTGTAGGTTTGATCCTCAGTGTGGGGCGTGCAGGAGGCAGCCGATCAATGATTCTCTCTCATCACTGATGTTTCTAGCTCGCTCTCTCTCTCTCTCTCTCTCTCTCCCCCCTCCTCTTCCTTTCTCTCTGAAATCAATAAAAATATTGATTTCAGAGAGAAAGGAATAAAAGACTTTGATCCAGAGACCTCAGCCACACAGCTCTGCCCTGAGCTAACACTGAGAAACAATGCTATTAAGATTAATTGAAAGCAAAGACTGCATTCCTTATTTTCAAAATGTCACTTTCTGCTCTCAGGAAAGGCGACATGGAGTTTAAGCATCAAAGTATTGCTATAAACTTGATGGACTTGTTTCTGCCACTTAGTAATTTGGCCTTAGGAGGGGATCACATCAAACATAAACAAAAAGAGCAGACACTAATGGGGACACAAATCTGCAGTCTCTCAGCCTCAGCTCTCACATGCCTCTCAGAATCTGAATCCTAGCCCTAACACGTGTAATGCAGCTACACATGAGCCAAGTCCTTGAGTCAAGCTGGTTGGGAACGTAGACAATTTCTACTGCTGCAACAACAACAAAAACTCAGCTCATCGAACTTCATCACAGCAATCCTTAAGTCTTCATTTTAACTGAGGAAAATCGACTCACCCAAATTGGCGGGACGGAAGCAAGTTGTTCTGCCATTTTTCTAGATCTTTTAGTTGCACATCAAATCTGGGGCTGATTACTCCACACTGTAAAAACATAACATAAAACACTGTTCATACTTCATCAATAATAAAAAAATAGTAACACAAAACAGTATTTATAATTGCTTAACAGTCATGTAAACCAATCAACTCAAAATTTAATGGATAACTATTCTGTACAATATTTGATATAAATGCCACTTGAAAAATATACAGAATTATGACTATGCCAGCCCAGGAAGAAAAAACAAAGTATTGAGAAAGTCAATAAAAGAACACACGGCAACACACATGGCAGTGTTAGGTCACCATTGTGCACCATCCCCATGGGCTGGAAGGCCGTCACAGAACAAATTCTTAGACAAAATAAAGTCAAAACTTTTTTTTTCATAGTAAGGCATGAATGTGTAGGGTCTCAAAACCTTCATCTATATACTAAACATGCAAAACATTAGAATTCCTAAGAAATAAACTCCACAGGCACTATCCTAAAATCTAAGAACACTCACTGCTCCTCACCAATGAAGCACCACGAAACATCTCTGAGGCACACTATCCTACAACCCCAGGCAAACTTTCCCAAACTAATCTGACAAAACGGACGGGAATCAGAAAGAGCAGTTCTTAATGCTCTCCCATGTTTGCTACTGAGACACAGCCAACTGTCCTACCAGTACGAGCTCTCCAAGAGCCAAAGCACAGGATTTTATGCAATAACACGCAAATCCTAAAACACAACGTATGTTCAAACCTCCACTAACAAGCTACATGAGTTTGCCCGTCCAGCTGGGTTTAGAAAATGGAAACTGGATGCCCAGCTGGGTGTAGCTCAGCAGTAGAGCGTCGACCTAGGAACCAAGAGGTCACCGGTTCGATTCCAGGTCAGGGCATATGCCCAGGTTGCGGGCTTGATCCCTAGTGAGGGACATGCAGGAGGCAGCCAATCAATGATTCTCTCTCATCATTGATGCTTCTATCTCTCTCTCCCTCTCCCTTCCTCTCTGAAATCAATAAAAATATATTTTAAAAAAAAAAGAGAAAATGGAAGCTGGAAAAAAAATGTCTTTAATAAGAGCCCAATATGACCCCGTGCTCTATAAATCACCAGAACACCTAACAATATCAATGCAGGCACACCCTCAATATTTCACACACAAGAAACAATGTGAGAATTAGTATCATCAAAGGATTAGTATCATCCAAGTGTAAACTCCAGAGGACTAAGAAAACAGGTAGACAGTTGTGTGCACACCCACACAAGACAACCATTAAAAAATTCTAAGATACTTAACAGTAAAACGAAAGGAGATTATGAGGTTAGAGCGCATTCAAGTTTTGGAGGAATTACACTTCCCCGGGTAGAGATTTGAATCTACAGAAACAGAAAACAGGCCTCTCAGGAAACCTGCTCAAGTACTCCTTTCATATCCTACCAGCTATGATGCCACTGATTGCCAAGGGCGATCCCACACTGGACTGAAAAAAATACAGTGAGAGAGAAAATCAGTTCTCCAAGCAACCTATAGCTTAAGACCTTTCTGAGCCTCCACTCCACACCACCCAGGTTTTTTATTCCAGCAGAAAAGTTGCTCTCCTTCAACTAGTGGAATTAAACTGCCAGCACACCCTTCCCTAACAGATGAATCCTGAGAAACTCATACTGGTTTTGCCCAGTCAGACAGCAAAGTGGCAGAGCCTATCTTTTAGCCAGAATTTGTGAAACTAGTACACCACAGAACAAGAATGCCACAAATGAGTTCCATTAGGGAAATGCTCTGTTCAAACTTACTTCTCAAACTATTATGCACCGCGAAATGTTCAAGAAGAATTTGGTACGCAGCATTTCTCCAATGTAAAGAGAAATGTTTTAATTTTATAGAAACGTAATCTTCTGAGGACAGTTTGAAGATATGCTATAAAACTGTCTCCGGCTGGTTACTAAGTAACCGAGAGACCTTAACAGAGCTCAGATCCCAGCTTCCTAACTCCTAAAAAATAGGAAAAACACTGACATACCTTCTACTTCAAGAACAGAGTGAATCTAAATCTTACTTTGGGGCTGTGGTCTAATGATTACAATTAGAATAAAACAGCATACTTAGTTACTCTAGACAACTTTCCAAATCTCTCATGAAGGCCTCATATCCAGAAGTTTTCATCCAACACCAAGTGTCTACCCACACATGAAGCAAGTTCATTCTACAGGGAGCAACTTTGTAAAAGAATCTGGATAAGGAAATAACCTTACCAATCAACCTGACCTCTGCCTCTAACCAGGATTCAATTTCTGAGCCCCCGCCCCTATGTATGTTGGACTACAGGAGTTCAGACTCCCTGCAAATCTGAAAGCTACAAACATGAACAGAAAACAGGGTAGCAGCTCAGGGACCCTGACTAGCTTACAGACAACTGCTCCCAAAATACCTGCAATCAGTTAAACCACAAAGCCAAATAAATCAAATAGATCTACTAGGTTATGCTGACAACTCAAACTGAAAGGGAACACAGACCTCAGAGACACACACAGCAAATAGAGAAGTAGTAATAATGATAGAGAACCCCATTCTGTCTAAAAACCCAACACAATCACCATGAGAGGAAGGCACTAAAGTTTATACACTGAGAGCATTAGTGCCCTTGGCCACCCAAGTTCAAGCCAGTGAGGCAGGCACTACAGTAACATTCAACTACCAGTACCACCAGGTTCACCCCAACCCTCCCATATCTCCCTTTAGACAGCCCACACTCCACAATCCCTAGGTCAACAATTCTACAGCAACTGCAATCCTGGAGAACAAATGCAAGTAAAATGTGATATAAAATTTAATGATTTTAATCAATTCCTAAAGTCTTCACCTAACTAGGTAAAACAAGCACACCACCACTGTTCAGCTTTACAAGGGCAATTACAAGACATCAACATCATGTTAGATAATTCTTAAAGGTGGAAAATACTAAATTCTTACCTTGTTCAACCTGCCTGTGAGGTTCACAACAATTTTCCCAGCTCTGTGGTCATCAATAATTTCAAATTCGCCAATGTAACCTACAGAACATAACCAACTGTATTAAATGGCAGCTATCAATTTGGGAGACCTAAGTATTTACTCTCCTAGTATTCCTGCTGTCTGCCTCCTAGATTCTTTTCCCTCATCTCAGTTATCGTTTCTCTAAGAAGTTTAGGGAAAGAGAGGGGCTCTGTACCACAACTAATCTTTACAGCATAAGTAATATTGAAAATTCAGGGGACAGCACCCAAAACCCAGCCTGCAATTCTTCCAAGCGGATTATGTGCCCTTGCCCCTTCAGACCTTCCCACTTCCAAAGGCAGCCCTGTGCGCAAGCCATGCAACCACGCTTTCCATCCCAAGGAGCTCTTGGATGAGCTCAGGAGCCCCTTCGATGCCTCATCGCAGGTGAAGGGCCATTTTAACCCCCAAACACCTAGCAGAGCAAGCCACAAACTTCACCTCTCCTACAAACAGTCCTAACATCCTCAGTGCTTCCTCAACTGCATCATCTCTCCAGGCTGTTCCAGGCACAGCCCAGGTCCATCGCCAGCGGCCCCCAGGCACACAGAACACAGCAACCTACCATGCTTCATCATCACGGTCAGAAACCGGACGATGACTTTGGAGCACGGCCGGATGAGAACCTGGCGCTTGCCTCTCTTTTCGGCATTGTTGATACTCTTCAGAGCATCAGCCAGGACATTCATGCGCACCATGATGGCTGTTCAAGGAAGACAAAACAAGAGTTTACCGTCACTGCTAACGTCAACAGGCACCCAGTCCCTTCACATCCCTTTTTCTGCCTCTATCATGACCCAAGTTTTCCTATTTCTCAGCAGGACTGTTCCCCAGGATCCCCAGCGGAATGTCGGCTACCTGCACGAAAATGTCAGGCACGGTCCGTCTGCTATTCCGCACGGGAGCCGGCAGTCACCGACAACAGTCACCGACAACGTTCTCCTGACTTCTGAAACCCAGCAGCCCCTGTACTAACACTGTCCATTGGTGCACTAACCCAATGTAGTCTTGTCCTAATTAGCAAAAAGATACTACTTTCCACCCAACGCCCGTGTCTGTTAAAGAGAAAACGTCGGTCTCTGCGCCACAGAACATTGTGTCCAACAGCAAGTGTCTCACGTGGCGAACAGTGCACCAGAGCGGACTCTCTCCGCACGGGCACAAACTGCAAGACACTCTGATCAACTTCTGCAAAGTGAGGACGGAATCCCAATCAAGCTTCAAGCGCCAAGCAGGTTGGCAGGGATCCAACCTGCTTCCTAAAGCTCAACCGAGTGATGGAGGGGAAGCCCTCGGGCACCGAAGCTCCAGGTTAGTTCCCAGCGAACTGCCCGCCTCCCCAGCAGTACTTCCTGCCGAGTCCCCAGCCTCGCTGGCGCCCAGCGCGACCGCAGCAATGCGCGGCCCACGACAGTCCCCGTGCCCAACGCTTCCCGCCGCCTCAGCCACTTCGGGGAGACCCCGGCGCCGCTGACCGCGCGGGGCTCCCGCCTCTCCGGTGCCCGCCCGCGCTGCGGCCTGGGCCCGGTAAGGCAGCTCCCGGGTACTGAGCGTGGGGCACCGAGCACGACTCTCCCCTACGCCTGCCCAGGCTCCTCGAGGCCCGTATCCCCGGCCCAGATACGGCCCAGCATCCTCGCAGGTCACAGAAGTCGAGTCTCAGACTGCAGGATGGCGCCGATAGGCGACGGATGACGCTGGATTGCCCAGGCAGAGGTACTCACCCGCACGGACCGATGGCGGAAAGAGAACGGGAGGGGCGAGCGCACGGAGTTATGGGAAGCGGGTAGGATCTCGCGAGATTTTCAGAGCACCACCGGGGCGGCGGGGAGACTGTGGAAGGAGGGGTAAAGGGCGGAGCCTCCTCAGGCATGGGCAATAGAGAGCAGATAGCATCGACCGTACCAGGTGAGGCCATGGGTAGAGGATAGAGAGGGAAGGCATCCAGCGGTTCTCAACCTGTGGGTCGCGACCCCTTTGGCGGTCAAAAGACCCTTTCACAGGGGTCGCCTAAGACCATCCTGTATATCAGACATTTACATTACGATTCATAACAGTAGCAAAATTATAGTTATTAAGTAGCAACGGAAATAATTTTATGGTTGGGGGTCACAACATGAGGAACTGTATTTAAAGAGCCAGAAGGTTGAGAACCACTGGTCCATTCCCTTCTAGCACTTAATCTGTAAAATAAAAAATTGACAAGAAGAGACTAGATGTTTGCTAATTTTTATTGCAATAACTTCACCATTTAGAATAAATTTTAATATTGCGTGTTTATAGTGTCTCTGGAAAGACCCACAGAAATCGGTAATTACCTCTGGGGAAAGGCATTAGGAATTGGGATGGAAGACTTGCTTTTCTCCCTATACAAGTTTGTTTTGTTGTTTGAAATGTGTGTATACATTACATTTTCAAAGCAGTCAAAAATATTTTTTGTAATCTGTTGTTCCTCTTTGACCCTCCCTAAATTTTAGAAATTATTTACTAGGGCTCCAAGCGTTTCTTGTGAGTTCTGGGAAAAAACATTTGGAAGAAAGTCACAAATGTTTCTAAATAAACACTCAGGATTCGAAGCAGTGGCTTTTATCTGCCTGTCTGCACCAGGACAAGAACCAGTTTGTATATCTCACCCTCTTTGAACTTTCCCCAGATACAAGCTGAGGATAGTAATAATACCTGCCTCTTAAAAAAAGTTATTATGAGGAGCCCTAGCCTGTTCTGCTCAGTGGATAGAGCATGGGCCTGAGGTCTGAAGGGTCCCGGGTTCGATTCCTGGTCAGGGCACTTGCCCGGGCTGCGGGCTTGATTGCCCAGTAGGCAGCCTATCAATGATTCTCTCTCATCACTGATGTTTCTCTCTCTCTCTCTCCCTCTCTGAAATCAATAAAAAAATATATTTAAAAGAAGTTCTTGCCCAAACCGGTTTGGCTCAGTGGATGGAGCGTCGGCCTGCGGACTGAAAGGTCCCAGGTTCGATTCCGGTCAAGGGCATGTGCCTGGGTTGTGGGCACATCCCCAGTAGGAGATGTGCAGGAGGCAGCTAATCGATGTTTCTCTCTCATCGATGTTTCTGACTCTCTCTCTCTCTCCCTTCCTCTCTGTAAAAAATCAATAAAAAAAAAAAAAAAAAAAAAAGTTCTTGTGAGGGTAAGGCAGAGCGAGTGCTCATCAACATGAACATTCCTTAGTATAAAGCCTCTGCCTAACACACCCCCACTTCTCAAATCCTAAGTGAACCGCAGGAAAGCAAAGCTCCCAATTTGGAGATCTCAGGGATATAGAATTCTCTGGCTAAATATATATTACAAAAGGGCCATTTGCTTTTTAAATGAACATTTCCTTGAAGAACTGGTTCCTCTGCACTTACATGTTTTGTTTGCTAAAAATGTGGAATTCACTTTGAGAGCCTTAGCAATAGTGGGGAGTTAAGTGAATAAATTCACTTTAAGAGCTTTATCATAAATAGGAAAATAGCAATATCCACTCTTTATACACTTAATTCATTCATCCATTCACTTAACAGAATATCATGTACCAGGTAGTGAGGGGACAAAAGGACGTTCCTGCCTTGAGAAGTCTTAACACAATACCAGCCAATGTGCCATTAGTTTGCCAATATGAAGTGCTGTGGATATGCAGAGGTGGCCTGGGATGTTGCTAAAGCTTTCACAGAGGAAGTGCAATTTGATGTGTCGTGAAGTCTAACAACTTCTAATTCGTGACTGCCACTCAGTGCTTCCTGTAGATTAATTTATTGAATCCACAAAACCAATGGGATCATATACTGCACCTATGAGATCTATACTATCACCCCCATTTCACAAATGAGAAGACAAAGTTCAATCTTAAATTGACTCAATCTTAATTTTTTTAGTTTTAAGTAAAAAAAAAAAAAGCAGGGGCGGGGGCGGGGGGATTGGATCTAGGTCTACCTGAACCATAAAATGTTAGGGTGAATGGGCAGCAGATATTCTAGCTTTACAACAGCTCCAAGAACTAGGAGGCATGGAATAAAGATGAACAGAAGTCTCAGAATGGCTGGGTTGGAATTAGGAAGTAGGGTAGAGGAGCAGAATTGGAGCAGATGGCCAGGTATAAAGTGCCTTACAAGTTTGTGACTTATGCTGTAGGCAAACTGGAACCTGCTGAGAGGGCTTCAAATAGGATTGATCATGATCTGATTGTTAAATGACAACTAGACCTGGCTGGGTGGCTCAGTTGGTTGGAGTCATCCCATACACCAAAAGGTGGCAGGTTCCTTTCCTGGTCAGAGCACACACCTAAGTTGCAGGTTCAATCCTCAGTCGGGGCGTATATGGAAGGCAACCAATCAATGTTTCTCTCACACCGATATTTCTCTCCCTCCTCCTTCCTCTCTAAAGTCAATAGACATATCCTCAGGTGAGGCTAAGTAAATGGCAACTGTGTGGAAGATGAATTGGCATTAAAGCACCTGACCTAAAAACTACCAAATCTTTACTCTTTTTAGCACTCTCGACATTTTGTGAATTTGGGATGATAGGACCACCACTGGAGGTAATGCCAAAGCAAGTGTCAAAACGGGACTTTTGCTGTGGTCATAACTGGCACAGGCGTAGCCAGACTGGCGTGGGAAGTCAGCCAGTGTGACTGGCCAGCCTGAGATGTAATCACAACTGCATGGTATAAATACAGCATTCCCAAGTATCGAGCAACCAACGATGGTGATTTTGTGTTGAGACCTCCCTGTTTGGAATTACAACAAATCCCCAAGAGGCTCCAAAGAAGGATCCATACATTTTTTGCGTATGTGTGGGGGGTGGATGTAGGCCTCAGAATGTAATTTGATTGAATCTGTTCCCAGGATACACTAAGTAGACAGTGCGGTCCAATGATAAAACATCCAATTTGAGCTCTAATGTAAAAAAAAAAAAAAAAAAAAGTGTAAAGTACATACAAGTCACCCACCACTTACTTACTGAGCACCTCATGTACCCTGGGGTACAGAGGTGCCCATGGCAGGCACTCTCCCTTGAGCCTGCATTGTTCCCTGCCTGTTCTCCCTGGTTGGCCTTCTCACACATCATCTTTGGTTATCACTTATTCATTTCCTTTTGCATCTAGCATTTTGCCTGGATGTTTGCTGAATGAATACATTTAAACCTTTTATTTTGTTCTTAAAGAGTACCTTATAGGCATGTATTGATCACACAAGATAGTACATTAATCAGATCCATAAATCCACTCAAGTAAATATTGTACTGGCTAAGGTAGAAAGAAACAGGACACAAAAAGGGATACCAGCTTTTATTTTTCCCCTTTTCACAAAACGAAGTAGAAGAAGTAATACAGAATTAAAATCACAAAAGTAGTTGGTAGAACATGTATACACACAAAAAATCCAGGTAAGAAGACAGGCTTATTTACAATGAGGAAACACATGTAAATTAAGGTAGCTTGTAGTATGAAACAAAAAACTCAAACATATGTTACATGGGTGCCACTGTTGACAGCAATATTGAAGGGGAGAAAACAACACTTATGTAGGGACAGATATACCACAAGATCCAGGTTTTACAGCATCAGTGCAATAAATTCACAGAACTATATTACAGCTAGTTAATCAGAGTTAAAGAATTGTTCCCAAATATGTCACATTTTCGGCCCTTAAAAGGTTCATTCCACAGATTTCAACTACTCTAAATATCTAGCTACTGAGAGGGAAAATGATTCTAAAACGCTTTCCAAGAGTTAGAACATTGCTATAGACCTAAGGCCATCTATCATGTACACAAGTTTGCTCTCACCAACAGCCCTTATAATCTTTAGAGAAATATCTAGGAAAAACAGTCAGATGCCAGCATAGTCACCACCTCCTAGACCAAATCTATGGGGACCAAGCAGCCAACATTACCATAAAATGAGAATTGAAAAATGAGTGGGAGAAAATTATTTTCTACTGAATCCTGATGAAACACAGGAAGAAGACTTTTGTCCTTTATTAGCTGGTCTTAGAGTAAAAGTCATAGGCACGAGTCTTCATCTCTATGTACTTTAGTTTTAGACAGCTGAAAATCTGAAACTAAAGTATGCTAGAAATCCTAAATTCAAGCTTTTGGAAGCCTGCTATTAAAAAGCCTTTAGGACCCACTAACTTGAAAGCTAAGTGCAACGGGACAAGAGCTCTAAAACTGTCAGGTTCCCCATTTCGGAGGATCAGTTGCTCAGTTTTGCACAAGGGAGAAACCAATACATACTAGGGCATGAAATTAGTTTCATTTTATTTCATGAGGGTGCTTCTCCATGGTATAGAAACAGAATTGGTCTCTTCATTGAAGTGGTAAACTTGGTCTCTATATTCTTGAAGCTGGACATTTTTTTAAGCAGGCTGGGAAGGAGACGGTACAACCAGTTTCCTATAGCCACAGACCACTACACCTTATATCTAGCTAAAGCAAAGATCAACTTGAACAATTATCCAAAGTCATTTAACTGTACTAAAGATTGAAGTTCATCACTATATTATTTTAAAGGAAGCTGCCTATAAGTAATCAACCCTGTATGAGAAAAATCAAAACAAGCTGTATTCATGAGTTGTCCACATAAGGCCAATTGATGAGAATGCACCCAGATACACTTGACATGAAGACTCTGTATAAAGCCTTGTGTGGCAAGTCTGAATTTCTAGTAACTAAGGGCAGAATGCGTGAGAGCAAAGAGCTACTT